CCCTGTTTTAGCCAAACCAGGACACTCTTCTAGTTCTTGGCTTCTGTGACCGTCTCGCTCAAGAAGCCACAGTGTCCACAAGCTCAGAACGTGACATTTGGCTCAAAAGTAATTTGCTGTTTTCTGTAATCCAGGCTCGCTCTCAGCGTGACACTGAACAGATCTCTAGGGATGGACCTCTTGAAATTGGCTTCCCAGTTCCTGTGAAGGAGGTAACACCGCTTCATGCATTGCCAGCATCTACAACAGGAAAAAAAGGTAGTTCCCCCTGCTGATACGGGGCAGCAGGCTTTGTTAATTTTTTGTTTTGTACATGGTTAGGTGGAGGTGACAAGGGTGCGGAATTTATTAGCCAGTGAATCTTCCATCCATCTTCCCAGCCTAAAGCAGGACATACCCATTCTCATCCCAGGATATCAACAACTCTTGCCAGCCACATCACTTGGGCATGGCAGATACCCTGGATCCCAACCTGGTTCCTTCTCTATAAACCTGCACTTCGCCCATGCCATCCCAACCCCTGGTGACATGAGACACCAACCACCACTCATTCAGCTAACCCCTAAACTCTCTTTCTGACCCGGTACTTGAGAACATCTCATACTTCCAATGGCAATAAAGTGTTTATTCCCTTCTTGGGACTCATAGACTAAAATCTGAGAACTTTAAAGAGAAACCAAGCTCTAAACAGGAGATTGGGAGTCCTTCTGATCAGCATGGCCAATTCTCTTTCTGATTTCATATTTTTGGGTGGTTGACATCCAGTACCTCTGAAAATCGTTGACAGATCCCCACTCATTCACCCGGGAGCTGATCCAGTTGTCACAGCTCTATGTGCTACAAGAACAGATGTTTAGGAGGGTGAATTGAGAGACCGGAGAAGACCATTGATTAACAGACCTTGGACACACCTACTGGGGGTTCAGTGGCCAAAACCAAAAATTAGTCTCCTGGGGAGATCCTTTGTTTGTCTGCTTTGTGCCTGAGTCACAGAACTCTGGATATTAGGAGCAAAAATGTCACCATCTTTCATTAGATCCACGTGGCCCGAGTAAAAGGTCATTTCAGGACCCCTCCAGCTTCATGGTTCATGTTGCCCCTCCAAGCACTGCATTGTAACTGCAGCAAACCTATGATGGCACTGACACAGTATTTTTCTGCCTCCCACCAGCTTTAAAATGCAACCACCAGAAAGGGGAGGGAAAAGAGAGTACAAATGAATTAATATTTAAACCTAGCAAGGACTGGGACAGTGGGTCCTCAGCTCCAACCTTAACTAAAGGTCAAGCTGAGAACCCAGACCCCACCATTGTCTGCTTTTTCAATGCAAGTTAATACTGCCCCATGTGGAGGTAATATCCTGGAAACTGGACCGAGAGCAAAATGTCAGAAGGCACTGGTTAAAACACAGCAGAGACGCATGATACCAGTGCTGTGGGTTTGATACTGTGCAGCACCAGGCTACCGAGCCTTAGAGGCTAATTTTGGTACTGTCTGAGCTAAGGGGACAGTACCCTTTGGGCCCCAAGAGGAGATAAATGATGTCCTCGTCTGTGCTTATTTTTTTTCTTTTCTACAAGTAGAACTGGCTATGCTGATGTGAATCAGTAAAACCCCAGATGGTTTCACATCTGGTTTACATGTGGGTCTGTTTTTCTGCTGAGTAGTGTTCTTGCTGTTCAGCAATTTAGAACAGTACAGCAGTGTGCACTTGAGTGCATGGGATAAATCCAGCAAGGGACAGAACCTTTTAGAAATTCATGTACATCCAAGTGAATGGAGTATTGAAGAAACTCTGAGTAGTTGCATTCTAGGACATTCTGGCTGAAATATTTGATCAGAGCTTCAGATCCAAAGCAGGGACCCAATATGAAAATGCCGTCCCATCTTTTCATCTAGCTTTGCCAAGGGTCTTGAAAAGACCTCAAAAAAATGGGACCACATCATAACGGCAACCAGCAAGAAGGAATAAAGAACAGAGGTGGCCAGAAATGAAGGGTTTGGTCATGCTTTGCTACCATAAAACAGAATGACAGACAAAGGAGTCTGTAAAATGGGAGTAATCCCACTGAAGAAGGTGCAGTTATGCTGGAGTAAAATTACCTCCAGAGAGAAAGCAATGTGGGAGCAGAGCTGATCTACGTAGTAGATGTGGTCACTACATTTCCATTTATTTGAAATACCCTTTTAATACTCTAAGCACAATACCTGTGCATGTTCAGGGGGGGTTCTGCTCATTTCCAGGGGGTTATTTGAATGCTTTGATGTGTGTTGCAGAGCCACAAGGCATCTCCTGGGAGACTCCAGTGGAGGGCACAATGAAGGGGGAGTCTCTGATAGAGTCAGACTTGGGAGAACAACCCCAGGAGCAGCAAAAGCACCAAGTGCAGCTAAAACTAACCATTGAAGATTTTGTCCTGCACAAGATGCTGGGGAAGGGCAGTTTTGGCAAGGTAAGCATCAGGGGACTGAGACACCACTGCATGCCGTCTACATATTGCTCTTTATGGCACTGAACATAAAGTTTGAAGGCCACTTAGGAAAAAATGTCTCCAAGCCTTCAAAGAACCCTTGCTGTGGCATGGTCGAATCTTGAACTCCGTCTTCTCCTTGCCTAAGACAAAGATCTTCCTTGCCCTTCCCTTTGTCCCATGAGTTGCTGTGTCATGAGTGCCCATGACAGGAGAGGAAAGCAGCTGAGTAAAGCTGCAGCTTCCCCTTCTGTGCAGGTTGACAAGACCTGGGCAGCCACAGAGAGCTGGTGGGAAAGACCTCTGTGCTGTCCCCCTTCCTGCAGCTACTTCTGCCAGCGGAGCTGAGGGAGATGGAAGTATTAGCTGAAAAGTTGAGTGTGGATCACTTTTCCTGTCCAGAGCAGCAGGTCCCCAGCTGGGAATGCTAACTGCTGTTTCCCAGCTCCGATCTGTGCTGGAGCATAAAGCAAATTTTGCAACAGCCAAGAATTTGTGCTTTTGAAACAAAGGCCACCTGTTTTCAGTGGGTTCATTAATCTTGATGAATTGTGGATTGTTCCTCCTTCTTGCAGATGTCCCCTGGAAGGGGATTTGTGTTAGTCGGTGCCAGCGTAGAGCTGCATGAAGCAATTTCAGAGGAACTCACCATTGTATTTTCACAGCCAATAAGGAGAATGAGTACCATTTTGTATCGCATTGCTCAGATCCCATGTCTTTCTGAGGTGGAAACTGTGCCTTAAAGAAGGGCTGCTTTTTGCTTGCTAGAAGTGAGCTGGAACAAGTGCTGTAGCTAATTCTGAAACCGGTGAAATATCTGCTATGCTGGTTTTCCACACTTGAATATACTTGGCTTGTCTACACTTTGCATGGGAAGCAGAGCTGAGGCATCTCAGTTAGAGCTAAGCCAGAATAACCCAAAATCCACAGCCCAGACTAACCTGGACTCCAGAGCATAGATGTCATAGAAACATTTACATTGGAAGAAAGGGACCTCTGGAGGTCATCTAATCCAACCTGCTGCTCAAAACAGGTCTAATCAGATGAGGTTGCTCAGGGGTTTGTCTAGTCAAGTCTTGAACACCTCCATTGAAGCAGATTCTGTACCTTGCTTTGGCCCGTGGTGTTAGCATGGACTTTCCAAGCCTGCAAGCATCTGCATCTCTCTGCAGTGCACCACGTGGGTGTGGAGAAGATGGGCTATTTCATGCCCTTCTGCAACAAACCTCACCCACAAGTTTCCTGTGTAGGTGTTGCTCCCGGTGCCCTTATTTGCTTGGAGCGAGATTCACTTCCCCATAGAGAGCACAGGGTGTGCAGACCTCGGTTCCTGAGGGGTCACTCCAGCTCTGCGTTAACCAGGGAGGTTGAGCACCAGATCCGTGAGGAAGCCCTCTCTGCATGAGGTCTAGCATTGCCTACCTGCACCTTGGAAGTCAAAGTACAAGTCACAAATGTACTGCATTCCCCAGTTTCCCCAGGAAAGCAGTGCCCTGCACAAAAACGGGGGCAAAAAGGGTGCTTGCAGCATCAGCACTGTTAGCATTTCTGGTCCTTCACTGCAGAGACAGAGGGAGGCTCTAGGCTCTACTCTCTGTCTAGTGCTACAAAGTGAAATGCAGCCGTAGCCAAAAGGGTCAATAAAACTTTTGTTGAGGCTAAAACAAGTCTGAGCTTACTCAGTAAATAGTGTCTGGTAGGGAACTTCAAAGACCTCTTTGATGAGCCTTACATATTTATTCAGTCTATGGGAAACCGTGTCAACAGGCTGTTAGCATAAAGATCAGGACTGGCATTGCCTTCCAGCAGAGACTTCTTAGCTCTGTGGTCTCTAGAAAACCCCTCTCTGCTGCTCTGTGTCTCATTTTCCCTGCCCATAAAAATAGATAGAGGTCCTAGATCCTCTGGGTTGTGTTTTGCTATTCGCAGAGAAGAAATCCTACAGAAGCACGAGGGACTCAGCCTGTTTGCTCAGACCACTTGCTAACAGGGAGGAAGGGGAGAAAGTCACATCTGATATAGATCAGTCTAGATACTGGTGGACAACAGTTTACACCTGCTGAGGATCTGGTACCGGGCATTTGCATTTCACATGTTGACAAAGCAATATTCTATGTTTTGTTATTTGAAGTCAGAAAACAGGAAATGTATCTCATGAGCATTTGCATAAAGATGGTTTCTGTTATCAGAAGTGTTTGGTGCTCTGACATGTCCTATTCATACGGCCATGTAGCCCCTGCTCTTGTAATCGCCAAGACCTTCTCATCCTTCCCCAAGGTTCAGCTTCGTAAAACTATTCTGGGTGTGGGGAACAAACTCAAAGTCTACAAAGTTTTAATGGCAGAATTGCTCTTTATACGTCACATTTGCTAAGGTCTACCCGAGTGAATTCCACAGAGCTCAGCTTCCGTCCTCACATGGCTGTATTGCCACCTCTGAGAGAAGAACATCCCTCTTTCTGAGCAATTGTTTCCATCCTAGGTGTTCCTTGCTGAGCTGAAAAGCACAGACCAGTATTTTGCCGTGAAAGCCCTGAAGAAGGATGTGGTGCTGATGGATGATGACGTTGAATGTACGATGGTGGAGAAAAGAGTCCTCTCCTTAGCTTGGGAGCACCCATTCCTGACTCACGTCTTCTGTACGTTCCAGACCAAGGTAAGACAAGGATCTGTCACCTTCCTCCATGGGCTGAGGATGCTTTGCTGAAATATGGATGCTCGGTGAAGTGCTTAAGTCTGCTAGATACTAGGAAGCAGCTTGAACAAAAAGCGGTGCCAAGGGAAGGGAACTTCAGGTTAACCGCTTGGGAAATGGATCCAGGAATTTCATCTGCCTTCCCCACATTAACCTGGGGATGGGGTGGAGCATTTGAGGATTATGGCATCCAGAACTGATTGAGGTAGCTATGCAGAGACCCGCTATTAAAATCTGCACCCTGGTACCTTGGGCTAAGAATGTACAAAGGCCACATCCACAGCCAGGGTGCAGATGTGCCCGCACTGGTGTTATCTGAACCTCTTGGACCACGAAGCAGTATGCTGCAGCAGCTAGCCTGGATCACAACTAACTCAAGAAACTTTGGTTGTGGAGAATAAACATGCTGACATTCACTTTGGGAATCTTCTTTGCCCCCAGTTACTGTTAAATTGCATCAGACTTCCTAATTCATGTAGGACCACTGGTGGCAAAGACTGCAGTTCAGAGGGGCAGCACAAAGCATCATCAGCTGAAATCATGCTTAGGTCTTGAAACCAAAATTAAAGTGACATTTAAGTAATGTATATATCTTCATGGCCCTACATGGCATGACTGATTATATTTCCAGAGCCTTTTCTACAGCCACAACCAATCATCTTAACACTAAAGAACACACAAAAATGATGGAAGGAAATCTGAGAAATTGTCTTGTCTGTCCAACATACTCAAGTCACTACAGAGATGCTTACTATCCCTGAGCTCAAATTCATAGCAACACCATTGTCTCAAGGCTGCTTGTTCAGGGTTTTGTTAGGATGTGCCCAGTCCCTGCTCAGTCTCCGGATTTAGTGACACAAAGCACTGCTCAGTGTGGATTAGGACCCGCTCAGCAAGAGGCTTGCTGCTTCTGCAGGGTCAGGAGAAACAAATATAACCTCTGCGGTATATCCCAGTTGCCTGTGGGATGCAGCACCTGTTTAAAGACAGATTAAATTTATAACAGGGAATGTCTGGGAACTGCTGTAGGCGATATGACACTGAGCTCAGGCATTCATGTTTAACCCCTTCAGGACTGTCAGTGAGGACAGCATGTCCTGGGAATGGATCCTTGCCTGGAGAGGAAAGGGATTAATTCCCTTTTTTGGGGGGCTAGATTTCAGAGGAAAATATAAATGACCCAACTCCAAAAGCAAAGAAAATCAAGACTTAATTAAAAAGACAAAATATTCACAACAATCACAGCTCTGCGGGGGAGTTTATACTCCAGGGAGAGCTGCTTGTGCCGCCCGTAATGCCAGGTGCCCAAGGGGATGCTGACTGATGCCAGTGGCTGACTTACATGTGGCAGCAGAACCGTGTCGTCTGTGGTCCAGCCCGGTCCAGCCCTGGCCTGGAAGCTGGAGGTCAGGTTCAAGATGCATACAGCAGTGGCAATCTGCAACTCTGGTTTCAGGCAGTGCATGCGTGCAAGTGTCCACTTCCCTCATGAGACCACAGCAAAAAGACGAGAGACCAAACAGAGTCATGCCAGGAGCCGGATGGGATTTACTGACCATTTAAGTGGGGGACTGTGCTTCCAGCTGTGGCTGAGGCAAGGAAAACCTGCAGGATGGAAAAGCAATGAATGCCTGAAAAATTTGTGGATGCCAAGCTCAAAAACCCAAGTGATCTTTTCCTACACTGTCTTATTGGCAGCATCACAGTATTACCTTCGTGACATATAGAAAGAATCTCCATCCATCTCATCCCAAGTCATCATTGCCACTTTAAAGTTATTTGATCTCTCCATTTTGCCCTCAAGTTCACAGACAGAGAAACTGGAATGTGGCTGCCCAGGCCTAAGCTGCTCTGGGCTGTGATTGATTTCTAGCTTATGTTTTTCTACTCTGACCTTTGCAAGCCACGCGGCGATCGCTCAAAGTGTGAAAGTCGTTCAGAGCAGGAGAGCTGTGACAAGCCATGGATAGCCTTTCGCGGCTCAAAGGACAGCATGGTTCAGTTATAATATCTTTTAGAGCAACCATTTTAGAAGCCAGGACACTGGTGTGTAGAGTTCCTCTCTGGACTCTAATATTGAAAACTTGAATTTTCAACTGAAAAATTGATTATTTTTTTTTTACCTTTTGATTGGATTGTTAAGTAGTTTCAAACAGAAGTTCATGTGTCGGTGCCTTTCTGAATCCCTAATACTTTGGCTTGCAAGGTTTCTGAGCTGCTTCAGGTATTGGGTGACTCTGCAAAGGACAGTAAAAACAGGAATATTCCTACACTGAAACAAGAACGTCAGTAGTCCCCACGTCTCCAGAGGGGAAAAAAAAGTCATAATCTGTTGACAGTTCTCTGAGCTCTGGGATGAGTTTCTTCCTGGCCTCAACCCAGGTAATCAGTATATATAAAGTTTGACAGCCCTTCAGACAGGTTTTTGTAGGCACCAGGCACCTAATGCTCCTTTTTATTCTTGCGGAGGCTGAATGATCAGTGCTTTCGGAACTCGGAATACTTATCATGTTTTGCTATATGAGAATAAATTCAAACGCATGGGTTTTTTTTCCCCAGTCTGTTATTGAACTCGACTGTTTTATTTTACTAGAGTAATCTTTGCATCCAGATATTCAGCTGACATAATTATATGGTGTGAATTTTAACAAGCAGCTCAGAGAGCTGTTCTGTTGTATTAGATTTAAAGGGACACTGTTATGTTGAAGAGGAGGAACAACATGTTTATAACTCTGTGAAATCCCCAAATTAGTAATGCCAAAACAGTGACTAGCATCCCAGTGCTTATGTTTTATTCTTCTTTTTGCATTTCACTGATCTGTGATAAAAACAAGTTTTCCCTTTCTGAATGTCACACTTATTTCTAACTGTTTCTTTACTTCATTGACTAAGTTTTTATTCACACCCTTTACCTAAATGCAAATTAAATCTTGAGGCATTTTGGCTTGTAGCACAAAATAGCAACACAGAAGACTATCTCAACCCAAAAGATAAGTAATTTTTATTGCAATTTAAAAGCAAATGTTATAGAAACATTTCTTTTCTGCTTTACTAATGTATTATATCTTTTCAAAGTCCAGGTGGTGAGCCATTTTCACCTGCTTTGTCATTTTAATGTGCTTAATACTGACTTTAAAATCTCTTACATTGGCAGGAAGGAGAAAAGGATTGTAAATAAGGAGCATAACCCTAATTTAAAAATTCTTAGGCTCTGAAGTGTTTTCTGTGAATATTTTCAGGAAAATTCTCATTAAAACATCTCCTCAGAGGTAACTGCAATTCCTGCATAATTTTCCAAGGGCAATTTCAGTTTTCTTCTATCTTTGTCTTGCTGTTAGAGGGACAGGGTTGAATTATTTGATCTGAACCAGTGTGCGGGTTGGCACAGGTGTGTCTCACACCCGTTTCATGTTCAGCTCCACTGCCTGGTTGTGCCATGGACCTTCTGAGCAGCCCTGGATCAGGCCCACATGCCCTCCCCAGGCAATGGAGGATCCTCATCCACCACAGCATGGCTGCAGGATGCTGAGGCATTGCAGGAGAAGTTATTCTGCAGGGTGGTAAGGATGCAAGCCTTGACTTCCAACGCCACTGAAGCACAACAAAGTATTGGATGGACTAAACAAAACATGGTGTGCTGGTCACAAAATGAGGTGTCCTGTGAGGTCAGAGCAGATGTCTTTCTAGCCAGCATCCTAGTTTTGGCACTGACCCAGAAGGAAGGCTAAAGAAAAGAGTACAGGACAACACAGTGATTTTTTCCTTGTACAAACCATCCTTTTCCCTTGTACAAACCATCCCATGCCTTGGTGTTCAGCCATTTGGGAGACACAAGCTTGAAGCTACAAGGTTTCTAAGTCTCCATCCTCCTAGCATTTTGCGGAGATACATCAGCTTGGAAACATCTGATTCAAGGTTAGTTAGCCAAATGTGAACCAGCTGTTGGGAAAGTTGGGGAAGAATTGGGAAGTTTAGGGAGGCTTTGAGGATTTTGCCTCTTGCAACCACCAGGCAGCAAAACTGACAAGGTCTCATTTAATCCTCGCCAAAATTTCAACATGGTTCAGTAGAAAGAGCAGCATTTCAGCAGAACTTTGGGATTTCAACAAGATTCTGCCAGAGAAGGTGTGAGCAGCTGTAATTATAACATCAGAAATATGAAGTCTTTACAAGACACTTCTAGGTGGTGTCAGGCCATGTGGTGGGAACAGGTGGAGTATATTGGCAAGGAAAAGAGGGGGCCAGCTCACAAGCGTCTTTTATTTAAGTGATAGATCATCGACACGTTCAATACACATATACTCGTTGCCTTCTTGTTGTCCAGCTCTGAGGAAAATCAGCTCAAAATACATTCAGCTTTGCTGGAGATTTCTAAATATCTGCAGTGTAGTGGCTCTTTGTCCTGAAAAAAAGTTGTCTTCTTAAAGTAAAAATCTTGCTTTTTTCTCCCTATTTTTCATCTGATAAAATATGTTTCATAAATTTGACTACTTTTTGTTTAGTTTTTGGTCTGATGATTTTTTTTATCCCCAAATCTTCACAGAAATTTTTTTCTAGCTTTGAGAATATTGGTCTCTTCCCAAGATCCCACCCAATATTGGTAGAGAAAGCCACTTTCTCTTGCAAGACAGAGCTGATAGTAACTCAGTTTACCACTGTGAGTGATGTACTCTGCCTGCTCTGAGCTGCAAGGAAGGGTTCTGGGATCTCAGAACTCAAGTGAAAGGAGCTATTGCCAGCCATGTCTGCACCTTTACTTTTACCTGTGTATTTTTATATATGTGTAGAAGTATATTCATATGCTTTGTACCAAGTAGATTGGCACACAAAGCTAAGCATCCCAAATGAACAGTTTAACATGGAGTCAAAAATGCTGACAGTGCAAAGATTAAAACCAAAAATAAAAAAAATGTGAGATGAGGGACTGGACTGAATTATTTGACAACTGTAAGAAATGCTGCCATCTCCAGAAAACAGACTGATACTACACGAGGGAAAAAAAGTCTTTAAACCAGAGAACAAAATTAAACTTGGGGTTGCTTTGATCTGTAACATATTGGCTTTTCTCATCCCCAGATGGTTCAAATAGCAATGTTAATACCTCCTATGGTCACCTACTAGCAAGGAGTGACCCTGCGTTAGCTGTTCCTCATGGGAGCAGACACAGCGAGGAGCGTGTACATTGCTTGGTTTCCCACTGGATAGGCTGCTGTGATGGGATTGCAACACCCATTGAGTGGTTGTGGTGGAGAAGGCTGAGAGGCCTTTGGCTCCCATCTATCCCATGAAATAAAATGGGTCTGAAGCATGGATGATCACCCAGGCTGGGCTGACCTGAACTACACGAAAATTTGAGACAATAATCATCTGCAGGAATCACGTGGTGTCAAGCCTTTCTCTTGGCAAGGGCCAACCTAATTCAATGGGCATGCAGTAGGGTTAGGTCACTTAATCTGCATTGAGGAGCCTTCTCTGGTGGAGCCATTTGTTAACGTAACTGCTCTAAATAAGGATAAAGCCACACTGTCCTCCAACATTAATTATTCCGATATTCATCCTCCTGGAAGCCTTGAGAAGAAAAACTTTTGCTCAGTAAATAGTGTTAAATTGCGTATTTGTATGTATGCAAGTGCTTTCAAATGCAAAGAAAACAAAATCTGAACATCTCTGCAGAAAAGTGCTCTGGAGGGCTTCCAGCTGGTTTGAGGATTTTAAGAGCCTGTTATAGGATGTACCTTCAAAAGATCAATTTAAACGCTGCCTGCTTTATACTCATTGTTTATAAAGTTGAAAGCATCTCTGATAGTGACTATTCATTCTCACAGCAGTTGCATGCAGAACAGAAGCAGGTCGGTTTAACTCCATCCCTGCCATGTCCTGGAGAGGCAGAAGTAACAGGCGGCTCTGCAGAGAGGAGGTTAGCTCAGCACAGGCACTGAGGGACTGACGGGGCAAGAAATTGAGTTCTTGTAGTAATTGAGCCTTTCAGCACCTGGCAGGATTGACTCGACTAGGGAACTGTGTTATTTTGTGTGCAGGATGCACACCTGTATGTGTCTAACCATGTGTTGTACAACATCATATTGTACGGTTCTGTCTGCTGGAGGAGCAGTGCTTCGTCCTCCCGTGGAGGGGTTTGTCACGTTCCCTCTGCTGCAATGGAAAAGGCCCCTGGAAGATGACCTAGAAGTAGGAAATGGCTGATATATGGACGTCCTCAAGGCAATAGGTGCCAACTATCCTGGGGCAGTGTCCATCACTGAGTGCAGGAAATGCCTTTACAGTCCTCCTTGAGCTCTGTGGTTGTAAAAGATGGGCCTAAACTCTACCATGAGACCAGACTTGTTCTGTTCTGTGTGAATCTGGAACTGTGACCAGAAGTTTGGCTTGAGCGTTTGCTGCCTGAGGATGTTGTCACGAGTAGTCAGCAAGTCATCTGTCATCTGTCTGCAAGGCAGACAGGTAGGGTGAAGGTGAGGGGCTCTTCCCAAGCCTCCATCAGAGCTGTATAGGTCTCAGCACCGAGGAACAACATTCCTGTTTGTGTAACATCACTGAGTTAGGACCGTTGCAGGGGACAAGGGCATGACAAAGTCATGCCATCCCAGCTGCTACATCTTGAGAAATAACCCCTTAACCCACTCTCACCTGCTTTAGGTGCTGACAGACTTCAAAGGCTGGCAGTAGCAGACAGGAGTCATCAGATAACTTTCCCAGGACAAGAGGAAGTGTAGGTTGGAGCCCATCTACAAACACGTCCTCTGTGCTGTTCTAACCCTTCAATTTCTAGCACACTGTTGAATTTTCGGTGGTTTCAAGCATGGGTTTTGCTACTTCCCATTTTTAACATGTTCTACGGACCTGTAGATCTCAGGCTTAGGAAGCTGTCTCCAATAATTTGTTGCAGCTTGCACTACTTGATTATATCTTGCTACTCATAATGAAGTACTTAGGGCTGATGTCAAGTGATTTTTCTCCATTGTCTCCATTTCTCCAGTTGTCTCCAGACAACTGACCTTTGTAAGAAGCAAGGGGAACTTCCAACTCTCAGATCAGAAAAGTCAGAGTGATGCTATCTTTCTTCTCAATAGTGTTTATGTACCACTCTATAGCACCTGGTAGACTATGAGCTTCAGTATTTTTCACACCCAAGTCAGATTTGTAGTCTTCAGCTTCATAGCTTTAGACAGTTGAGCAACAGAGCTCATATAAAGATCTTTGGATGCCAATTAATCTGAGAGGTTGTCCACCTTTTCTTTCCTCAGATGGCAGAAGGATGCTGCCAAAGTCCCCAGTTCCAAGTTACAGTCCCCAGTTCAATTAAATAGATGCATCAGATGGTTTCTCAAATCCATGAGCAAGCAGAGCATGACTGCTTGTTCCACTGTATAAACATGGACTGCAAGTTACGCTTAAAGATGTGTGATAAGATGTAGCCAAAATCAGTGGACTTTCCAGGGAAACACAGGGGTTTTCTCCTTCCCAGTCCACTGAAGCTCAATCCAGCCCATTTGAACACCCATGAGGTTTCTTCTGTCCCAGTGTGATACATGTGGCTGATGATCTGTTGTTGGCTAAACCTCATCACCTCGCTCTGTACCTTCATAAAGAGCATCTGTTCAAGTGTTTTCCTGAATGGGCTCCTGACCTCACATTGCTTCCAAGATTTGTGCATTTCTACACTAAATTGCCAATCTCCATTTGGCCTTCTTACTTGCTTAAACTGACTTATTTGCACAGACCTCTACAGATGCAAGGCCTTCAAACTGAAATCTTGCACCCCTTTGGTTTATTGGCAGAATTTGTATTCTTTCCCTGGGAGGCCAGATCTGGCCCTGCTCTTGTTGGTTGACAGGTGGGGTTTCCAGCCAGACGTCCATTTAAATAAGAGTACTGTAATTAAAAGGATCTGGCTAAAGAAATTGCATAAATTAGAGCAGACAGCTGTTATATGAAAGAAACAAATACTGTTGGTTTTTTTAAATAACCAGCTCCTGGCTTGCTGCCAGAGATGCTTACATTATATCTTATGGATAAAAATATTCCTTCAACTGTTAAAAATATAAGCGAAAAGAACTCTATTTAAAAAAAAAAAAAAAAAAGTGATGAGCACTAGGCAACAAAGGGAAGATATTCATAAACTTTAGCATAGCCTGGAGATGACTAACTTCAGATGCATACAGAACAGAGAGACGCTTTTGAGAAAAAAAAATACTGCATCTATTTTATTTTATTTTTTTCACGCATTTCTGCCCAAAAGCTGAGATTCCTGATACTGAAGTTTAAACTAGGAACAAAACTCATTGCACAGATACTCTTCTTCCAGAAAAAGGTGCCCGTCCTGCTTTATAGGTGCCCTTCAATGTGGAAGGGATTGGTCTCAATCAGCCTCCAGCTTCTGCGGGGGCCTGGTGGCGTAGTTATAGCTGATGAAGCAGTGAAGGGATCAGTGTGGTGTACATCAAGGACTGGAAAGGAAACCGTGGTGATCAGTTCTGCTCTTTATTCAATACAGAGATTCCTCCATGTGCTTAAAACAGGTTGCTGCATCTGGCCAGTGTCTCCGATAACTTGAAAAAGTCATACCCATGTGCCTCCACAAAAGACGCACAGCAGTGCAGGTAACACCAGCTTGAGATCACTCCACTGGATGGATAATGCACTGGGCTGGGGAGCAGAGGAGACCTGGGATTTACTTCTGCCTCTTCCACTATCCCCCCAGGAAACTTGTCCATCTGTCCTTCTGCTACACAGGCACCGTAGAGTTACTCATCCCCTTCTAGTGAGCCTTGAGGTCTGCTGGTAAAAATCAATGGCACCAGCTGGTTAAGTGGACTTGTAATGTTTGCTAATGCTGTTTATACAAATCGAAGCAGAGAGGGTGAGCACGGGCTTAGAGAACAAAGAGGAGAAATGAGGAATCTGAAAAGGAAACAGCTTTCTTTCCAAAACTGTTGCAGTAATCTTTTCCTTCCTCTTTTCCAGTGCTTTCTGGGTAGGGTATTTTTTTACTTTTATCTCGCCCTTCCCCACCCTTTATTGTTATCTTGTCTCATTCTCTAGGAAAACCTCTTTTTTGTGATGGAATACCTCAATGGAGGAGACCTCATGTTCCATATCCAGAGTTGTCATAAGTTCGACCTTCCCAGAGCAACGTAAGATGTTATTATTACCTTTTGGCTTGCAGGTCACACACATGGTAGATGCAAAGGCAGCAGCTGGATTTTATTCCCAGCTCTACTACTGTCCTGTAGAAGAAACCTTGGCCAAATCATTTCACCTCTCTGCACCTTACCCAACTGCAAAGTGGGGATAATGCTTGTGCTGGAAGCAGAATCGCTCTCTGTCCCAGCTTTCTCCAAACTGAACAAAGCAGGCATGCAGGTCATCACCCCAACTCAACAGTGGACTTAAAGCAAGTCACTTCCTCTCCTTGTCCTCTTCCCCCTCCCACAGAAGGCTTTTTAGAGCCCATCCACACAGCTGATTTCAGTCAGACGTGACCTTGCTTTGCATTCTTGGTCAACCAGGGAAGCTATTTCTGTCTGGAAGTGTTACAGATGCTGCTACATCCTCGTCAGCATTGCATCTACCTGCAGGCTTATCCTTTAGCCTGCAAATCATGGACCTCCTTCTAGCCTGTAATCTGGCTCCTGTATTTTGTGCTAACCTCAGCATGGTCCCATAAACTTTTATTCACAGCCGAGAGCTGAGCTAGATAGAAGCTTTCCCTTTGGCTGTCCTGCTTGCTGGATTGGTCCCCTTCCCAGGACTGCAGTCCCTCAAATGGAGAGGGACTCCAGAGGGACCATTTAATCCAGCTGAGATCTTACCTCTGGAAGTGCCTCCACTGTCTGTAAACAGGCCCAAACATGCCTAAAATCTTATTTACCTGGCCCATGGATGAGAGTCATTTTAAAGCAACCTGTGAATTACAGCAGCCCTGGCATTGCTCTTTGTTGCACTCGTTGAGTTCTTGCTCAGTCCGTAATTGGAGACCCCGATAATGACAACATGGATCCAACCTCCACCCCAGATTTACCACCATCAAAGAAATCACACAGATGCATTTTCAGCCATCTGTGGAACCAAATATCTTGTTCTTTACAGCACTTGGTGGCCTGTGGCCAAGCTGCAGGTCCTGCTTAAACTGAGGTTCCCGGTCCAGTGGTCAGAGGTGAAGCTATTGTTTGTTAGAAGTAATGGGATTTTCCCTTTCTGCCTTTAATGTTCAAGGAGGAGGAGGGGGAAGTGATAAAACCTATCAAAAGTGCAAAAGGTAAATTTCAATAAAAAATTAATACACCCACAGAGAATTAAAAATTTATTTAGCTTTGATTAAAGTAAATAAAAGAATTAGAATAAGTGAAAGATGCTTTTAATCCTTCTGCAAGCAAAAAGTATTTTGAGAGTCAATATTGAAACCACTATAGGAATTAATTTTTATATAATAATTAAAAAAAACCACCTCATTTAAATCAGTGTTTAATTTGACGATTTTTTTCAAAAGCATTTGAATGTTCAGAATTAAGGGCCGATGCGTTGAAGACTGAGGGAGCAAAGCTATACAACACTGGAGGGGCACTTGATCCTGTGATTGCTTTCCCTGTTGGAGAGCACTTTCATCGCACAATGGTGCTCCAGCCTTATGTTGCCTCTTCGCAGCAGGATGTGGTGTTGTCCTTTAGGCCAAAATGTATTGAGAAGAAAGATCTCAGACTTGAAAAGACTCCAGAGAAAGGCCACCAAGCTGCTAGCTAATTCATGTCTTGGATAAAATTTCAAAAGCAAGTCATAAATCTGAGTGGTGAAGAGGTCTGTTTGACAAGCCAAGGAGTTTGTGGTCCCCAAGCCCAGGTGCCCACCTGCCTGTCCCATTGCTGGGACCACTCCACTGTTTGCGCAGCAGCTACTCAACATGGCAAATCATAGCTGCTCTTTTGAGGTCTGAGGCATTAACTGTAATTTGCAGTGTGCAGTCTTGTGCATCACTGTAACTCATTGATTTATTTTAAATATGTAAATAAGGGAGAGGCACAGACACCGTCCCATGTGGTTTTTTGCTCCACAGCTGATCTGGAGACATCCTTGGGCACTGAAGGACATGTCCTCACAGTCAATTACATATAAAAGAAGTGCAGCTAGCCATGCAGTGTGGCTTCCAAATCCCTGAAGATGAGTAGGCTCCAAATCCCTACCATTTTGCAGAGAGGTTTCAGTGGAAGTTGGGCTGCTAGGCGTGTGGCACACTTTTGGAATCTCACATCATCCATCAGTTACCTGTAAAACCCAGTTAGCCCAAGCCTTCTGGAGACACGCCAAGTCCTCTGGGAACTTTGGCTCCTGTGGAGACAAAGTTTTCATCTTTTGAGGTCTAGTTAAGAATGCCTGGTGGGAAGCATCCATTCTAACTTGTACCTTCTGTCACTCAGGTTTTATGCTGCTGAAATCATATGTGGGCTCCAGTTCCTCCATTCCAAGGGCATAATATACAGGTAATTTTACTCGTTAGTGTCTAATGTGCTAAACCTTTTCTGCTTTCCCTGCAAACGCTAATGGTAACTGAGAAACTGTTGCTTGGATGTGCTCATTGGTATTGCATTTCTGCGCAGATTTCCTTTTTACATAGTCTGACTGGTTTGTTCTGAAGAGATAGTGCAGAAAAGCAGCTTTGAGCCCTTTTTGAAAATCCAGTCCTATTTCAGTTAACATTAAAACAAGCCCTTTGATGATTTTACACTGAGTCATTCATATAACACCCAGCATAGGCACCCAGTTTAAGTTTTCCATGTGTGAAGGTATATAAGGTCAAGCTAGCCTTGAGAAATTTGGTATATCTGCTGTGCTAGTTACCCTGGGACAGTGGTGACAAGCTCAGCTCAAGTAACAACAGCAGGAAGACAGTGATATACCTTAATTTTGGGGTTATTAACAGTTCTGCTGAGCACAGTTCCGTGGGGAGATAATGTTGTGGATGGAGTGATGCACTTCACTCATCAGAGAGAAGGAGCAATACGTTTAAAATAGCAATTCAACAGAGTTTGATAGTAAATGTGACAGTGACTTAATAAGATTGATTATTTGCTGTATAGAGGACAGGATCAGACAGAACTGTCAGGAAGGCCCTCCTGTTGAGTCACGAGGTTCAAAAAGGACCTCCCTCCTTTCTAAACTCCTTCTCAGAGAGGAGTCTAGACACAGCTGGATCCAGACTTAATCCCAGACTTGTTCAACAGTTTATGTCTAAAGGATTATATGTGTACCATCAATCCTTTATGTCACTGTCACAGATATGATTTTTTACACAGCTTTGGTTTGGCAGCAATTTAGGATTTGTTAATATTTTTCACAATATTAGGGTGTGTAACTCTTAACAGCACTCAATCATCAGCCAATTTAATGGAGAGATTCAATGGAAATTGTTACAAATCAAGATAGTGACTTAGTTAAAGATTTGAGAATGGCAAGGTCACCCAAAACTTACAGCAGGGTTGCGCACACAGATGGAGGTTAAATCAAATCACACACACAGAGACAGAAAAACAAACAGTTCTAAACTAACTTGCATGCATACATAAAGGTCAACCTATGATTAAAATTTCCCTTTTTGTGAGTTTCATGAATTACTCACTTTTATATGCTGGCATTCTTCAACAGACAGTCAGCAAACCTCGAGAAATCAGGCCTTTGAGTCCTCACAAAATCGTCAATGGACAATCTTTCAATCCTTGCAAAATCTACCCTGAGAGGCATCACGATTTTTCAGTCCTCGTGAAATCTACCCTGAGAGGCATCACAGCTCAGGGGGTGATACAGGGTCACACAGCCCACTGCCATCCCAGATGGCTCAAAGGGTCTCACGTTGGATCGCTATTTATAGGATTTCGAGATGATTGACTTTTGGCCAGTATTTTCCATTCTGGCCACAATTTGTGCTGAGTCATTCTGGTATTCCATTCAGCCTGGAGATGGCCCAGGTGTGGCCAGAGGGTGCCTGACACCTCAGCCCAAGATAACAGCACAGTGGGAGCACACAAGGCTTTTCCTGAAATATCAGAGTGGCCGGGGGTCTGGACCACCACAGATGGGATTCATCTCACCTACCGTCATGAATCTGAGCTAGTTGCCCAAGCTCTTCTTGTAGTAAGCAGAGAAGAGTGGGCTGGTTTAGGTTGATCAAACCTGTGTTAGAGTCTGTACGAGAAGTGCCCATTTCTACCAGCGGGTCTCTACAGGGAGCTGATGGGGACTAGATGGGACACTGCAGGCAGCTGCACTCAGAAGAGTCCTCTCCAAAAGTTACTGGTATGAACTTAGTCCACAATGCACCAATCTATCAAATCCTGAGAAGGAGAGGTTCTCTACTACAAGATTGCCCATTCCAGCTTCTGCTTGACTTTCCTAGGAGCTTTGAGGTTATGCATGGATGCTCTGATCTAATGCACATTTATTGTGCTTCAGACCTATATAAAAGGACAGAGACAAGATGGGAGCAAGAAGCACTGCAGAAATCAGGCCAGAGTCTGCTTTACCATGACTGAAAGGAGGAACTGAATTTCTGGGGAGCTCTAGTCCGGCTCATCTTCATGACAAAAGTTAGTTACTACATTGCAACCTTCCGTAAAAGCAGGAAGCAAATAGCTTGTCACAAATGAGAAATCTCACCACAGCAATGATGTTTGCTGAAACCAAAATGAGTTTATTTCAATGTTTGTCATGTAGTGTGAACATTAGAACAAATGCCGAAAGCAAATGGCTTGTTTACAATCCACTCTCCCATTAAAAAGCAAGCTTTGATTCACATAAACTCATGTTATTATTCATTATTAGTACTCATGTGGGAATCATTTATAGTCTTTATTGACCAATGATGGTGATTGCATAAACATGAGATCAATATCAATGGCATTAAGCTAAGACGATCTCCGGGGTCTCAGCAAGTTTCTGGCTCTAATTATTGTTCTGAATGACTGAAGGGAAACATTTTCTGAAGTAGCCAAATCACTTAGCCATGTCTGTCATTTTGACTCAGACTTCTCAGAAAAGTTGATTAAAAATATCTGCAGGACATTGTGAGTTCGTGGCAGGACTGTTAATGCTGACGCTTTGTTTATAATTCACATTTTTATTTGGAATTGCTACAGCAGTGATGTGGCAGGGTTTGGAACCTGTTTCCTCATGAAAGGAGAGAGACGCTTAGAGTCGCGAGCCTTGGGAAACATGGGCAAATTGAGATAGCTGGACATTGGGTAGCATGGTGATACGAAGAAATACCTCATTCCCAGGAGTCGGTGCAGCATTGCTTTGGATATTAAACTTTGAGAGAAAAGATTTAACCAGTCCTACTCCTTTGTCCTTTTTTCATTGAAGACGATGACAGTGAGGCCAATTGAGAATGCACAGCCATCGGTATCTCAGTTAGAGCTAACTAAGCACTTAGGAAAGTGAATAGAAATCATTTTTGAAACTACATCACTTGCAATGTAGTGAGAATAATGAATCCAGCTGTTCTGTCTAATGCACCCACGTTTGGAAATGTTGGCTTAAATTTTAATGAATGAGCCGAGGTGTTTTTGGCAGAAACTCCAATCCCTGGAGCCAATAAGTTTGAGACTCATCAAAATAATGAAAGTGAACTGTAGGTGATGGGTTTTTTGTTTTGCTTCAATCTACTAGATGAATAAAAGCAGTGCTGGCAGCCAGAGATTGATCTCCATGGTGTAACTAAAATAAATCATTCCAGCTGGAAATTGTGACAATATGAGTGTCTGCCACTTGGAAGGCAAATATATCGGTTGTCTCTATATTTCTTTCTGATTGATGACTCCCAGTCTTTCTTGGGCCATATTCTAGCAGCAACGAACAATTTCCCCATGACAACAATTTAGTGTGTAGACACTACAAGGTCCCCCACCCTGTCTGGGACCTGGCCGAAGCAAAACGAGGAGCTTTGCACAGAGGGAGGCTGAACAGCCATCTTTCCTGAAATTGTAGGCAATCATCTCGGGAGCATCATGCATTAGAAATTACCTTCTTTGAAGGAGTCAAAGCCATTTCTGAAAAAAACACATTGTAAAGCAGTCGTCACCAGGAGGGTAGATATATAGCAGCCTCTTGCCTGAGATGTGGAAAATGTGTGTAGGCTGTGAATCAGCAGAGGTTGGAAAAGACCGATTATATCCTCAGCAGTGGGCACAATCAAATGTTGTGCCTTGGAGCTTTGGGAGGCCTGAGAAGGAGCAGTGACTGATAGCACAGGATAGGCAGTGCAGGAACGTGGGTGTTCTGAGACCAGGTAACCCAAATTCTATCTACATCCCAGGTGAAGTGCAGAACTGATCCAAACATCTCCCTGAGTCATTATTTCAATGAAAAGCAAAACTTTTAGGTATGATATAAAAAGTTTAATATAGAAGCTGTGCCAGCCTTCCTTTCTTTCTGCCTTTTTCTTTCTTTCTTTACATGCTTTTCTCTCCTTTCAGAGGTTGTTCCCACGTGAGGACCTCTTTGTTCTCTGTCAATGGCCATGACTCATCAGCTCACTTGCTTTTATTTCCTTCTCTATGCATTTCTCTTTTTTTTTTTCTCTCTGGGCTCTTTGCTTCCCACAGTAGCTCAGAGCCTGAAACCTCTGACAACAGCTTGGCAGCTATGTGTGAAGGGCTTTGTAAATCCCCGGGGCTCAGATGGTGCAGCCCAGCAGTGAAAACGTGGTGGGTGTTCTGCTGATGTCTGGGATTATTCTGACCCTCTACAAGCCATACAGGGCTTGCGAGCTCTTTTTAGCTTCACTATTCTGCATCCTCAAATGAGGCAGCTTTTAGAAGATGTCTTGGGTAAAGTCTTCTCCAGCAAATGAATCAGTGCTGGAACAGGACGAATGAGGAAGAGGGATATTGAAGTCCAAGAGAGCAGCTCCTCATTTGGCCCTCAGCCTTTCTTTGTAATTGCAATGTGTAGGCACTACGCAGAGGCAGATAGCAAATTAATAAGTGTAACCTGCTAAAATAGTTTGTGTGGCTGTGTAACACTTTAAAGGAGAGGTTTCCTTCTCTTCCTTGACAGAGATTTGAAGCTAGACAATGTCCTCTTGGACAATGAGGGGCACATCAAAATTGCTGACTTTGGGATGTGCAAGGAGAACATGTTTGGAGATGCGAAGACAAGTACTTTCTGTGGTACTCCTGACTATATTGCTCCTGAGGTAAGTGTGGGGTCCAGGGATGTCAGCAAGCTGCTGTGGGACAAATAAGATGTCTTAAGACATGACTGTCAGTCAGTGGTGGAGGGTGCAAAGAGTAATAACCTGCTTTTGAGCAGTTCCAGGCTAGAAAATGGATTTCAGTTTGACTTAAGAGTCTGCATTGCTGTCTGGCATTGCATATTTTTGTGGCTGATTCATTTTTTGTGCAAATGAGCCTCGGAAGCAAGTGGTGCTTGGTTTAACCAAGAAACAGAATGTTTAATGGAAATCCAGTTTGGGCCATGGCAGAAGAAGCTCCTAGAGGTAGGTCCTGTAATTCACGGACAGAAACAGCACGAGGAATGGGAAGCATGTTCTCTAACTAGCTAACATGAGGCTTCTATGGCTGTAGAGGCTCCTTGATAGCTGGTAGGGAGCTATAGGCACTTCTAAGGGATGATGTTCATCACAACCTAAGAGAGGAAATAGAGAAAGATGGGACAAAATGCCCACCTAGAGCTGATTCTCCCTTCTCATTGATTAACCACTTTTTAGAAAAAGAAGAGGCTAGGTGCATGATAATGCAGAGATTGAGGTTCACCTTCCTTCTGGGATATGTTCTGATGCTTGAATAGGGATGGCACCCTTAAGCTTGGACTTCTCTCTTACTCGGACAGGTTCTTATCTGACTGCAAACGCAGCCTGCGTCACGAGCATCCTCTCAGAGTGGAATAAGGCACTATATGCTCTGAGAAGGCTCTGCCATCAGAGGCATAACCTTAAAACTAAGCACAGCCTTGAAGATCTGTCTAGATAAAAAAACAACCAATAGCTGCTTGCAAAAGGGATGGAGATGCTTGGAGACATAAACATCAGAGTGGTCATACATCCTGATTTTTCCCCTCTAAATGCCAGCAGTCAGAGGAGAGGTGTTGCTGTCTGGAGGACAGCTGGGACCCGAACTCCTAACTCTGGGCTCTGGACAACCTGCTTCTCTGCTTTGGCCATGCATGGTGCCAGAGCACCTCATGTCGCTGCATGAATCCATCCCTGGATAACACACCTCCACAAATTGCCTCCTGGTGACAGAGGCTCTAAAACTAGAGATGATGGAGTTATATCAGGGCCAGGCTGTGCTTGAGCTAACAAGGGCAAGGCAGAGCTTGTGACTTGTGTTAAGGTCCTGCTCTATCCCTTTGACTCAAGAAAGCTGAGACTTGCATGTGAACAGTCTCCAATCTCCATGCAAAAACATACCAATAGTTCCTCTTCTGCTTCTGCAGTTAATGTCTACTGATACTTGGTGGAGAAAAGCTGAACCTGACCTCCATGTGCCCATGCAATAAAACTAGGTGGTCACAGACACCAGACTCCAGCTTGCCCATAGTGAGATCCTTTGCCCTTCCCCTTATTTCTTTCCATTTTTTCACAGACAGAAATTTGTTTTGTTTTGTTTTGTTTTTTCCCTAGTAAATGTAGATATCTTGGACTAGATCACTCCAGAAAAAAGTCCCTCAACCTGGTGACACAATGATAGATAGAGAGGCTTTGACTAATTAGGTGGCAAATTGGGGCCAAAGAAAACATTTTTCAACTCAGAGAAGAATCTACGAGTCATCCATGCATCATGTCTGACATCACTCTGAAATCCATTTGTTTGCCTTTCAAGATCCCATTTCCTGATTTTAGTGTTTTCATGATAAATATTGGTACTTTCCAAATAGCTTTTAAAGCTTTTGGTTTTTTGCCCTCCACTATAATTCATTGATCTTTTACTGTGCACCAAGGGCTCAATTCTGATCTAGGTTACCCCTCTGCTGACACAAGGGCTGGCCTCTTCAAATCAATTGGATTTGTATTGCCTAAGAGCAGGTGTAAGTGTGCTCTGCAATCAAGCTGCAATTGTCTTTTATTCTACTTCAATATGCTTTTATTTAAAAAAAAAAAAAAAAATTCTGATCCTAAAAAAAAGAGAGCCAAGTGATAATCCATTATCTGTGATTTTACTTCATAGAAAAGAGAAAGGCTAAAATAGCTCAGTTTTATTTCTGCACCATCATTTATTTTAGAGAGTCAATGAGTGAATATAAAACATTTTCCCTCTAAATTGAAAGCACTGCTAGAGTTTATGGATCATCTTTCTCGCGAGAGGCAGGAGCGCTGGACTTTTTGTCAGTATTTCGATGCAGCTGCTAGCACTGTAATTTGTTACAGACCCAGCACCTTGGCTAAAGCTGTGCAAATAAGGGGGCTTTGGGTCAGTAGGCAAGCAATTTTTTTATTTCAAAAAATATTCGACAAAAAAAAGACTTAACCTGAAATGAAATTGCTGAGTTTATTTATTTTTTCCAGAGAACTGCAAAGCTAATAAATCTTTTCTTTGTCTGCCATAAAACATTTAATTTCAATTTGCAGACATTTTATACTTTAAAAGATAAAGCTTTATAATAATAACATGTCTTTTCAGAAGGAACGGTTGGGATATTTTCATTTATAAGTGATCCAGAAGAAATATATTAGGGAGTCTTGCTGATTCCTTTTATTGGGCTCTGAGTGAAACACTTTGTGTATATTGCATCTTATATTCAAATAGCTTTTTTGTCCTTTTTGCGTCTCCTCTTTTGGCGTTTTTGGAGACACGTGTTAGTCATGAGCACTCTACATCAGTTTGGGTTTAGACTTCTGATATTAAGGTCCTGCTTTGCTAGATGCCACAGATACATCAGAGGGGCATACTTCTCACCTAATGTGAGAAAATTCATCTAAAAATGAAGCATTAGATGGCACTTTATAGTGTTGTAGAAGGACAAGCATCCCAGAAGACAAGTCATCCCTTCCTATCTTAGGTGTTAAAGTCAGTTAAAATCACCCTTTTCCCACCATTGACTATAGAGAGACTGGATAATTAATAAGACATGAAACTTTTAGACAATACGATGAATCTGGACCCAAATGGCAATTTACAAGCAATGAAGACAAAGTATGAAAACAGTCAAAAAATTACTCACCTCCTTCCACTGTACCTCAGAGCCAGCAGTAAAGATCACCTCTCTAAATCATAATTTTTCAACTATCTTCAGTTTCATATGTACTGATCTGAATAGTTGTTTTCACTGGTGTTATACCATCTCCAGGGCTTGCCCTTGATACCTACATCATAGCTGTAGTATAGGGGATCACATTGCAACCAAGCTGTGGGCTCAAGAGTAAAGATTGTGCCTTAAAATGAACTATTACCCTCTCAAGCTCTAAAATCCTGCTAAGAATCCTAGACATCATAGTCATCATACGTGCCTTTAGACATCTGCAATGTAAATATCTATATATAAGCAAGTTGCCTAGGCTCCTTGATAACTAAAGGAGACAAATAAGGGGTTGTATTTTACATCAGGTCAATATTTAGCTGGATGTCTAAAATTAGACTAATTCTCTTCCTTAACAATGAAAGGAGCTAATGAGAACTGATTCAGCTCTCGGTATCTCTGTAACAAATATCTAAAGGCAGGTGAAATTAATTTTACTTCCTTAGAGGGAAAG